AATTACAAATCTAACACGTGGCGTGGGAGAGAATAACCCCCCTGAAGAATTTTTATTTTGTGACTTGGATAAATAGTATATATGTATACATTATTTTCAATATATATATATATATATATATTTGGATAACGGGCCATTTAAAATAGACGGTTTTTAAAAAACTCTAAAAAAAAATAGGCAGTTTTAAAATAGGAAGATATATTTGAACTTTTTGGTAAGAAATTACCTTTTATTGAAAATTATTTTAAAAAAGAATCCTATTGATTTATTTCCAACCCATTTTTATAGGATAATCTTAGTCATTCTTTTTTTTCAATCTATTCAAATCTAGAAGAGGGTGTAACAAAAAAAAAGTTTTAATCTAGGATAGGAAAAAAAAGGTTATTCTGATTTTATAAAGAATGATGGAATAAAAAGAGTAAAAAGAAGTCAAAGTAAAATTTACAAGATAGTTGAAGAAAATGAAATGAATATTTATCATTAACAAATGTCATTTGACCATTTTTCTTTTTTAATGAAAAGTTAATTAAGGATGCCTACTCCGAGTTTTCTACCTGTTTTTAAAAAAATAAATAAATAAGAAATTGTGTGGTTTTTTTTTTTAATATGATAGAAGAAATATCATGAGTTTCTTTTAGAGTATTTTGGGAGTGATAATAGAAGAAGTGATTTTGGAAAAAAAGATTTTTTAAAATCATCACGTAAGTGATATTTAAAAATCAATTTTAAGTGATTTTGTGTTTTTCTAAAATCAATTTTTTAATTTGACAAATGTGATGAATGGAAATGGGCAAAATCACTCCTCAAACGCATCTTTAATAGGTTAAATCTAGTTTTGTTTGTGATTTTTTAATTATTTAATCATAGTTTTAAGAAATTTTAAAATTTGCACAAAAAAAAAGTGTTCTTATCAATTTTTATTAATTATTTAATAATACCTAAATCTTTGAACTCATAACCTTTTGATCAGACGGAGGTATTTTAACTTGTTGAGTCATGTTACATTAACAAAAAAAAATTTAATAATAATAATAATAATAAATATATATATTTGAAAATAGCAAATGTATATAGAGATATTTAAAAATATTTTTATGTTAAATTTTAATTTGTGAAATGGTGTCGTTTTCTTCCATAGATGTTGGAAAAGCTCTGCTCCAAGAAGTCTTTCTTTAGAACATATTCATTTCCACCAACTTTTCCCCATCATAACCATTTATTATTTATTATATTATTATTATTTTACTTTTCTTTCCTTTCCTTTCTTTTTCTCTTTCCTTTTCAAATTTTCTCATGAGCCAAACACAAAATAGACCATCACATTGAAAAGGTTGGGAAGTATTCTTCAATTCTCCTTTCTGAAAATGAGTGATCTTGATATGCTTTCATGTCATTCTCAATGTTAACAAAAATTTACCTTTCATATTTATTTATTTTAATCTTTATATTTTCAAATCAATTTTGATCTTCTTTTTAGTATAACATATAAAGGTGAGAATTCGAACTTACGATCTTTTGATTAGGGATACGTGACTTAACAAATTGAGCTATGTTCAGATTGATTTCAATTTTGATCTTTAAACTTTATATGGAAAATACGTTTGTGTCGTTGCTACTAAATTCCCTTCTTTTATTTAATAAAAGTTGTGTTACGCGAGTCTGATTTTTTTTTCTTCTTTTTTTAACATATAAGATTGAGAATGTGTGGATGAATATTCTAATCAAAGATTATTAATGCTCGTGAGTTACATTGAGATTTACAAATAAAATTATATATAATTTACCTTTATAAATTATAGTAGTGAAAATTGAAGATGTGTATTTTTATAAATAAATCATTACAAATACACTATAAACATGACATTTTTTTAAAGATAGAACTTGTAAATAATTGATTAACTTTAGTACACATATATTTTTTTTTTTGCAAAGGTAGAAAAATTATGAGAGTGATTGATTAACTTTAATATTGATGACCAATATGTTTTTGTTTTATGTGACAATGATTGATTTACCTAAATTATCGATTATTAATTTATATATTAAATTATATAATTATAGTAATCCTTGATTGACCTATATATTGGTTAACAAAGTTATATAATATAAATTGTTTGCCTACCTTCTAATTTTTCTATAGTTACATAAACATTATTCATCTCAGTTACATGTTTGTAATATCCTTCGTTGTAAGATTTCTATTGAATAAAATAGAAAGTTTTATGATAAATACTAAATCAAACATTATGAAAATTTTAAAAATTAAAATATACTACACTACACTACAATAGATTGGATTTTTGCTAATGCAAGTTTTTGTTGTAATGAAAAGAAAAATATTAGTAAAGCTTTTTCTCAATACAATAGAACTATCTGAAAGACTCCATTGCAGACGAAAGAAAATTCTATTGAAATAGATCTGATATATGTTAGCTCTGCCATCGAATAACTTATTTTATTAGGAAAAATATTTTTTTATATATAAAATTTACAAAATAATTTTAATTTCAATTAAAACCTAAAAATTATTTGAATGATAACAAGTGTGAAATATTACACCTTAGAAAAAACAGATAACATGTTTTGATGAGAATCAACATCATCACCAAACACTATAATTAATTGTCCTTTTTTTAGGGAAAAAATTAGGGGAAAAGGAAGAATAGAAAACTTGAAATCTACGCATGAACTTGCTTGGAGATTCAGAAAATTAATGTTGAGTGAAATTGAAGATTTATTTTTAAAAATTTGGTAATAAAATTAGAGGGAAAAACCCACAACCTTAAAGCTGAATTAATGATGACTCCTTTTCACATTTTCAAGATCTCTCCTTTTTTTTTTTCATTTTCGAGGAAAATTACATTCTAGAGTTCCATACTTGAATTGGTCAAAATTCATGGATGAAATGATGGTTTATTTTATTTTATTTTTTTAAGTAGTGTACCAATCAGGTCACGATCATAAAAATGATGAGCTAAAGTAAACTACTAATTCAATAGTCAAAATTATTATTTATTTAACCAGAAATGATACGACAATAAAATTTAAATTTTGTTGAATCACCGTTTAAATCTTATTTTAGTGTTGAAAATTTTGGATTTATCCATTTTAGTCCGTAAAAATTTTAGTATAGCTTAATTAAAAAAAAAACAAACCAATTTGGTCCAAACATTCAAAATGCATATCTTAGTTATTGAAATTTGAAAAATTCAACCTGAATTTAACTTAGCGATAATTGACACATATCTTTGACAAAAAAGTTTCGAGCCCTCCACCACATTTATTGTATTATAAAAAAAATGGTTTAAATTTTTATTAGAGTTGAAGTGTTGGAAGGAGGAAGCATAAATTAAAAGTATAATAAAATTATTAGATTGGAAACACAAATAATTTAATTATTAAAAGAGCAACTATTCATGAGTTTGTGGCACAATTAAGTGAAAAAAAGATACATGTAATTTTTTTGGGTTAAAAATCATAATGTTATAATTTAGTATTCAATAAATTTTCTGCATTAAAAAAATGAAAATAAAAATTTTGAGGGCGAGGCTTTATGAATTTTTCATCGAACAACCATGAAAAAGAATGAAATTTTTTATTCCCAAAATGAACGTGATCTTAATATCTATCATATTAATTCTAGAAACCTTTAAAATAATGAATAAAAAAATAAGTATAGAAAAAAAAAAGATGGATTCAAATAATTGATGTGAAAAACGAGCCATTTTGTAATTACATGGAGCAGAGAAGTTGCAAAGCTTTTTGAGATTCTAGCACATTTCATATTCCATTATTAAATTTAATTAAATATTAATACTTTAATTTATCAAATAAACAAAAAATAAAGGAAAAAAAAATCCTATTTTTAAAATACATTATATGTATATGTATTTGAATATCACATTTATAGAAACTGTGATAAATGAGTATTTGAATATGGTTAACATTTATAGAAACAATGACTCATTGTTTGCCATTTTCATTAACCACTACAGTTTAACTTTATCCAACATTAACTACTACAGTTAATATTTAGTAATTAGAAAGAAATCATAATATTTAATTATCAATCATTAACACTACAATTTTTTTCTACACTAATCAATATGGTTTAACAGAGAGAAATACATTTGATTATAGATATAAATATATATATTTAATTCATCAGTTTATCAATATACATATATATCTTAATAAAAATTTTATAAAAAAACTAAATCTACTATAAAAATTAAATTATTACGAGTGAATGGATTGTTATCAATTTAAAAATTTACAGATTAAATTTATTACAAATTAAAATTAACGGTTACTCCAATGAAAGTATTTTTTGCCTATAATTTTTTTAACCTAAAAACAGCAATTTATAGTTAACCAAAAATATTATTTCCAAAGGAAATAAATTTCGGAGAGAGATTTGGGGAGTGAGGAGACGAGACCGGTCGAATAGCAGCCAAACTAGGCTCGTTTGCAACCGTTCCCAAAAACCAAAACGGTGTCGCCTCATGCGAAACGACGCCGTAGCGATTTCCTCCATGAAACTCTCGCTCTCCCTTTTTTCACAAGTTCCTCAGCTGCGACCCCAAAAAATTCAGTAGCCGCTGCAAACCCTAGAGCCAGAGCCAGAGGGCAATCATGGCGATGAAGAATCTTCTCACCCTCGCTCGGAACTCTCACCGGCGATCATCCGCCTCGTTTTCCCATGCCATTAGATCGGCGTCGACCTCTCCGGCGGTGGCGGCGTCTTCTCCACCTCCCTCTCCTCCGCCACCCAATGCGATGATCTACGATCGCCTCGCAGAGGCCGTCAAATCCAAGCTGAAACAGCTCGAGAATCCCGACCCTAGGTTTCTCAAATACGGGTCGCCTCACCCGACCATCACTGATCACACCCGGATTCTCTCCGCGCCTGAGACTCGGGTCACTACTCTCCCTAATGGACTCCGGGTCGCCACCGAGTCCAACCTTGCCGCCCGGACGGCGACGGTTGGAGTGTGGATCGATGCTGGGTCGAGGTTCGAGACCGAGGAGACGAACGGCACCGCCCATTTCCTCGAACACATGATCTTTAAGGGAACGGAGAAAAGGACGGCGAGGCAGCTCGAGGAGGAGATCGAGAACATGGGTGGTCATCTGAACGCGTACACGTCGAGGGAGCAGACTACGTATTATGCCAAGGTCTTGGACAAGGATGTGCCCAAGGCACTGGATATTTTGGCTGACATTTTGCAGAATTCGAAGTTCGATGAGCACCGTATTAGTCGCGAGCGGGATGTGATTTTGAGAGAAATGGAGGAGGTAAGAATCCTCTGCCCGTTTGTTCGATTTGCTACGTATTTAATAGTATGGTACAAAGTTTTTGCATCTTGGTTGGAAAGGTTAATGGCCTAAATGTATAGAAAGGTTGAAGTTTAAGATGCAAATAATTAAAGCACATGAGCCGCAACTTTTAGTTTTAGCACATCACAAAAGTTTGTCTCTGGTGCATGAAGATATAGATAGAGTCGCACTGGCGCCAGATCCACTTGAAGTAGGGTAGTGATTGTGGTTGATTACTTGCTAAATTTTCGTGGTTCGCTCACTGAATACAATCAAAGTCATAATGCTGCAGGAGGGTTAAGTTCTGGTCTAAATTGTGCAAGTGCACTTACATTTAGTTTGTTTTTACCGTGTTAGTTTTCCTAAGACAGAAGGAGTGGCATGTGAAACCTGGAAATGGGTGGTGTTTAGTTCTCTGCACCAAAAGAGTCTGATTTCTCGTTGACCATGAAATTGGCCGTGGCTTTGGATTTGTGCTTTTTTATATTTTCATGACTTAATTGTTTAAGGCACTGAACTGTGCAGGTTGAGGGGCAAACAGAAGAAGTTATCTTTGATCATTTGCACGCAACTGCATTCCAGTATACTCCTCTTGGCAGAACGATTCTTGGTCCAGCTCAAAATATCAGGACAATTACTAAGGACCATCTTCAAAGTTATATCCAAACACATTACACTGCTCCAAGAATGGTACGAACAATTTATATGATCGTTTAGTTACTGCTTGACAGAGGGTATGCACTGATTGTGATATGATATTGAAGTAACTTCATATCCGGGGATAATGTGTTTATCATTTGTTTATCACGGTCCTTTTGGATGATGATTGGGCTGTATCTTTCTCCCACTTCTATCTTCAATCAAGATACTTGTTCAAGACTTCATGAGAAAATGGTTGTCAATAATATGATGCTATTTTTCTTTTAGGTTATTGCTGCTTCAGGAGCTGTTAAACACGAGGATTTCGTTGAGCAAGTAAAAAAATTGTTCACAAAGTTATCATCAGAACCAACCACAGCTTCTCAGTTGGTTGCAAAGGAGCCAGCAATCTTTACTGGTTCTGAGGTACCCAAATAAATGATATTTGGATTTACCTTTCTATCTATCGAGAATTTCACTTACCAAATTTTTATTATCACTGGAATTGACAGGTTAGGATAATTGATGATGATGTTCCTTTGGCACAATTTGCTATAGCTTTTAATGGAGCATCCTGGACAGATCCAGACTCCATTGCTCTGATGGTCATGCAAGCTATGTTGGGTTCTTGGAATAAAAGTGCTGGAGGTGGAAAGCATATGGGGTGATCTTTTTCCCCTTCACCTTTTGTCCTTTATAACCTTTGTGTGTTAACTCCAAACGTGAATTTCCTGACTGCTACTGACATGTGGCAATTATTTTCATGAGTTATAATGAAAGTTGTTTTCATTATTTTTAATTGTTCCTTTTTCTAAATTATGAACAGTTCTGAGCTGGCCCAAAGAGTCGCCATCAATGAAGTAGCAGAAAGTATGATGGCTTTCAACACCAATTACAAGGACACTGGTCTTTTTGGTGTCTATGCTGTTGCAAAGGTGATTGTGACAATCATTAAAATATTCTATTCCTTATTCAGTTACTTTAATTATTCCCTCCCTCTTGTTAACTTCCATACTTATCGTTGCCTTTTGTTTACTTGGATATTACAAAGTTTAAATGCTCAGTCCCCGTAGGTTGTATAGCACCACTTGGACCTGAAATGCTGCAGGGTCTTATTCTAACCTGTTAGAAATATCATAGCGTGGATGCCATTATTTTCTTTTAGTCGCCAAACCATTTATCTTTTTCTAAGATTTCTATTCTGAAGAAGGCGAGATGTTCTTTTTTTTTTTCCTTACTGGCATTTCAATTTCAGCGTATCTCTAATCTCTCAGTTTTTTTTTTCAACAAGAAACACTATTTCATTGAAAGATTGTAATATATGGCTTGGGTTTTTAATAATTGAGAATAGAGCATCATTTGTTAATTACTCGTGATCTTAATACAAGCAGAAAAATACAAAGGTTGTTATTGTTATCTATGCTCTCCTTTTGAGTTTAAGCAAACCTGCAAAAAAGTTAGTTTTGTTTTATAATCTGTTTTTGTGTGTATTAAGGTTTTATTCATCTTGTTCACTTGTAATTTTTTAAAGTTTGGTAGTGACCTGCCTTCACCTATCTATGTGACCTGATTCTAAATTGGGGACTACTATTAGGCTTATGACATTTGCTAGTGTACAACTTCTGTGAGAGAAATACTGCAGATTTTTTGAAATGCCTTTCCAAGCTTGAACTATGAGAATTATTGCAAAGAAAGACACATGAAATTAAAAAAAAAAAGATGCTATACACTTGTAAGCTTGTTATGCAATAGCTTTCTCACAATTCATTTTATTTAAATACTTATAAGTGTGTTTGCGATTAGCTTTTGATTTTAGGTTTCAGTTACGTAGTATAATGATTTGTCATTGATGTCTTCATGGTCACATGGCTTTTAATCAAGCAGCTATCCAAACTGTAGTTTATAATTCATCTATTAGTTTGGAAGTCCTATTCTGACCTCCGACCTGCTAAGTCGTGTGTTTTGTGTGGGCCTTATTGTGACATTGAAAATCTTTTGATGCATCTTTTTCACCTCTTGGCAACTAAAATGTATTAGGGTCAAACGGTTCTCCTATGAGATTAGTCCAGCTATGCGCAATCTGACTTAGACACTCACGGATATATATGCATATATATCTATGGCACTGGGTATATATCCCTGAAGGCAAACGCTAGATTCTGTATAGACTTGGTCTTAGCAATTTCTTAAGAGAATTTGTAAGAAAATAATTTTAGTTTTTTTAAAATATTTTAAGAGGGAGGATTTTTAGGTCTGAATTCTGCCTGTTTGGGGTTTCTTTGTGGACTTCTAATAATAATGCTCTTCTGATTCTTCTCAGCTAGTTTTAAGATAATCTACCTCTCTATTCTGTCATCTCTTTCTTCCAATGCAGTTTATTCTTATTAAAAAAAAAATTTGCAGTTTGATTTCTTAGCTAAATTATCTGACCGTTGTGTTCATTTTTTCAGCCGGACTGCTTAGATGATCTAGCCTATGCAATCATGTACGAGACAACCAAGTTAGCTTACCGGGTTTCGGAACCTGATGTTACCCGTGCTCGCAATCAGGTAGATGCTGTACTTATTCCTCTTAGTTTAAAATCGGGTCTCCACGTTTTAATTCTAATTGAACTTGGGATTGATTCCAAAGCAGAATAAATTCATATTATGCTGAAATTTATAGGGAGGATCTTCTTTTATTTATACAAGCTGACGAAATAACAAGCTTCAGCATTCATCTAAATAAATTAAAGTACAAAAGATAGATCCTGAAAAAAAAAAAAAACTGATGAAAACCCAATCAATGGCATTTAGACTAACTTTCAGACCGTTGTTAGTTGACTGCTTGACGTCTAACCGGCATCTTACTCCTAACGACGAAGTTAGCTAAATTTTAGCTGTAGTTTACAAATATAACAATAATGGCTACAAAAGGTTTATAGAGGAATTGTAGACTAATTCACCAGTTTCCTGGTATGTTGAGAGCTAAAAGGAATCAGACTTCTACCATGTTAATTTCTTGTCATTTTTATTTTTATTTTTTTGAATAAAATCAGTATTTAAGGGCTCCCTTTGGTAATCTTCCCATTTCTTGTTTTCTATTTTTAATAAAGAAAAACATAATTGTATTTGGTAACAATCTCTGGTTCTTTATTTTTTAATTGAAAAAATAAGGTAACTATTAAATTTTAAATCCAAAAAGTAAAAAATTTATATAAAAATTGATTTTTATAATTAAATATTCAAAATTTTTATGTTATTATTAATGTTTAATATTTACCATGTATTTTATAAGTCAAGAATGATAAAACAATATATTTACTTATTTTTTGAAAAAAAAAAGTAGAAACGGGTACAAGGAACAAGAAGCTTGATTTTGTTTTTTGTTGTTCAATTTCTATACAATTTTGTAAATATTTTTAAAAGAGTGAGAAACAAGAAACATAAACAGTTGTCAAATGCTTAGGTTTCTCAATAGAACGAAACCATTATAGGTGGCCCATTAGTCCAAAGAGACTAGGTTAATTAAGAGGGAATGAGTTCACATGATGACCAACTACTTTAGGAATTAGTAATTCCTATGTGTTTCTTAGCACCAAATGTTGTAGGGCGGACAGTTGTCCTGTGAGATTAGTCTAAGCTACCTCGGACACTCACAGATATTAAAAAAAAAAAGAAAATTTAAAACGAGAAACTTGGAATATTATGCACAGATGATGCAACTGGTGTCTTGCATCATTCCGCCATGCTCCCATATAAGTTATATATGTAGTGGGCATGAGTTTTATTAATTCTCTTGGTAGAACTTGGAATCGAATACATGTGTACACACCCATTGACATACTCTTTTGTTGCAAACTGCAGTTGAAATCTTCTCTATTGCTTCACATAGATGGAACAAGCCCAGTAGCTGAAGATATCGGTCGTCAGGTATCCACTCCTTCCCATCATTTTAAACAATTACATTCACGAGCATATCGATTCTTGTTTCGAGATTTCTTAGAACTGGCCTAGTAGCTCAAATGTATTTGGAAAAAGAAAATATCAAATGAATGGGAGCTTTTTACTTCCATATGAGGAAATGTAGATGCTTATCACTCGTCTGAGATGAGTTTTTCAACTCATGTACACATTACTGGACAGTGGACATTTGATTAACTCGATAATTAGTGGACATTAACCTGATCAATCCCCTCTTATTTCATTGGGTTGCAGCTCCTTACATATGGTCGTAGAATCCCGTTCGCCGAATTGTTCGCAAGAATTGATGCCGTTGATGCAAGCACCATCAAACGTGTTGCGAATCGGTTTATTTACGATAGGGTAAGAACTGAAGAAGAGAAAAAGAGTGCCCGAGGTTATACAGATCTTCTTTCCCTGTTTCACTTCATTGATCAATCTTTTCATTTCTGCAGGATGTTGCAATTGCTGCTTTAGGCCCCATCCAGGGTTTGCCCGACTACAACTGGTTCAGACGCAGGACATACTGGAACCGTTACTAGACGATGTCGATTATTCGTGTTATTTTTGGTCACATTCAGCATCGCAAAATAATTTTTCGTTATGCAAAATTACATGTCCTTTCGGGGAGTTTTCAGGCGGATTAATTATTTTTGTTTGCCAGTTCTTGTAACAGTCATACGAAGGAATAAGAAGTTTGTATCTTCCTTGTTCAAGTGTGATATTAACTATGGCATTGGAATATCCCAATCTTTGATATTTACGCACAAATTTTTTGGTAGCTCAACTCTTGGTTTATTTTCCTTTTCTTAGAACTTTTCTCCTGTATCACTTTTCTTGAAGAAATGTAACAGGTCGCATTTTACCACTTGTTTATATTTTATTCTCTTCGGTTTAAGAACTATTTATTTTCGTTCTTACTGTAGTCTTTTCTTTTGTTTATTTTGGTTCATGTTTTTTAAAATATTTATTTTAATCCCTTAATTTTTTTCATGTTTTTTAAAATATCTGTTTTGATGYTTGGACTTCTAAAAAGTTTTGTTTATTTTGGTTCATGTTTTTTAAAATATGTGTTTTGATCTCTGGACTTCTACAAAGGAACTATTTTAGCTCTTAATTTTAACATGTGTTTTATATAATAAATTATTTATTATAAATTTATAGCTATATTTTAAGAAATTTTGTTTGTGAAGTTTATGTTAAAATTTTAATTAAAATAAATGAGAAAAATGAGAATGGATTTTTTTAAAAGATAAAAAGAAATCTAGAGGAGGAGAAAAAATAGAGAAAATAACCAATAAGATTTCGTTGAATACAATTACTTCAAATACAAATACAATAACCTATTTATACTAATATAATCCAAATCATAATTCAAATAAGAAATTTAATTTAAATAAACATAATCTAATAATATAATGGTTAAATAATACTTTTGTTACTCTGAACTTGAATATTTAACGATTTAGTCTTTATATATTCATATTGGTATAATTTAGTCTATTGGTATAATTTAGTCTTTGGAATTTAGAATATAACAATTTAGTATTTGAAGTTTAAAGGTTGCTATGATTTAGTCTCCGTTGTTAATTCTTTTGGTTAAATTTTTTTTATAGATAAATGATCGAATTAGTTTATAGATTACAAAAATTAAATCGTTATATGGTAAAAATTGACGTTTAATTTTGATGAGAATTTTCGTGGTAGGGACTAAATTGTTATAAATTTTAAACTATATGGACTAAGTTGTTACATATTCAAGTTCAATGACTAAATTGTTACTAATATGAAAGTACAGAGACTAAATCGTTATAATTAAAAGTTCAGGGTTAAATTTAATAAAAGTATAGGGATCAAACGTGTTTTTTAACCTAATATAATCTAACACCTTTTCTCAAACTCACGATAAAAAACAGAAGCGGGAAGCGGAGTGTGCCTTCGTAAACATATAAAAGACAATGGGCGAGTATCAATCTCAATATGCTTCGTTCGTTCATGAAAAATTAAATCAAATGTGAATGACACTTGATTGTTATCCATCTAATATAGTTTCCCATGGTGAACATAAGTCAATACAATCATAGTGCGATCCGTCATCATTTTTGCAACAGAGACAAATGTTTCTTCATCATTCATGCTATACTCATGAGAATAGCCTTTGCAATAAGTCGATCCTTGTATCTTTCAATGGATCAATTAGATTTTGTTTTAATCTTATAGACCCAACCATAGCTATTTCCAGATGGTAGTGGTACCAAGTTTCATGTGTGAGTTGGATGTAGAACAGTAAGTTCCTCACCTTTAGCATTATGCCAAAATAGTCACAAACAATCTTTTATAAAAAAACAAAGGTTAAGAAAGACGATGAATAGAAGTAACAAAGAACACAAAAGAACTAGAATAAGATGAATAAGCAAAATTTGGTAGTCTAGTGGACTTACGTAACCAGTGGACTGAAGACATTGAAGATCTTCTACAACCTCAAGAGATGAGGAAGTGAGTACTGAGATGTGGATTCTCGATAACCAAAGTATCATATTTTGTTAAGTTATCAGTAGCCGCAGCTAGAGCAATGACATGACAGAGAGGGGTGGATCTTTACCAACTTTTAAATATTCGATTTTAGGGAAGCCAAACAAACGTGAGTGACAGGGGCAAGCCTTATTAAAAAAGTCTCTTACTCTGGATAAAGCAAGGAATTGAGTTGCGCGAAACTTTGACAATAATACTATAATAAGGGCGTATTAGAGTCGACGACGTTAGCGCGCTCTTACCCCTAAATAAAAGATTTTTCATATAGGTAGTTTGTCGAAGCCTTTTGAAAATCTTGCTTGTTGATCTTAATATGATTATCTTGGAGGATTGAATCGATCAATGTTTTGAAGTCTTTAATCGTCGTTCTCTAGAAGTTTTGATCTTCAAAATCATCTAGTCTTCAAARATGGAGATCAAATTCATAATCTCTTATTTAGAGATATATGTCAATTATCACTAAGCTAGACTCGTTTTGACGAATATAAATATGTTACTATATTTAAAACTTTCATCTTCCAACAAATGTTTACTTGTCTGGAAGAATTAGATTACTTTTTTTTTTCTTTTGAAAAGGATTTACATTTTCTTTTGGTTTTTTTGTACGAATTTTGTTATATATTTTTTAAAGTTTCAAGTTCATCTTTTAATTTATTAATCTTGTCAGTTTCTGTCAATAATGGTGACTTTAAATGTAAAAATTAATCGCTATAATGTTAATGTATAGTGACGTAATATTATATAGTAATTTAAAAGTTTGGTAAATTTTGGTGGCACTAAGAAAACATGTAAATCTCTATTTCATGACATCRGGAAAGTCTCAGCTCGGAAAGTGGTGACAATGACTTGTTACTTGGTAGGTCAAAAGTCTTCTATTTCTAACTTTGATTCATTTTAGTCTAGATACGTTATATTTTTTTAAAGTGATTATTTTGGTCCCTTAATTTTATTTTTAATCTCATTTTTTGTACCATAATTTCTACACGATACTATACTTAATATATTTAATGAAATATAACCATAATTTTATATTTAAATATTTCTGTTATATATAAAATTTTACAAATAGCAACCAAAATGGTGGAGATAGAAGTTGATAATTGTCATGAATGTTGAGCTTGAACACCCCAAGTTAAAAATAAGATGAAGAAGCATCTCCACATATACTCACACAAATAGATTTTGAGACTATTTGATTATGCATGTGAAGAAGGATCAATATGCGTGTAAATGGGACCAAATACTATACGTCAACCTCCTAACATACTATTAAAAAGTATTGTGTTACACAACATTACTGGTTTATTAAGGTTGAATCAAACTAAAATATCTAGTACATGTGAAATGCAAACAATAGAATGAGGGAGAGGCTTCGTGTTAATCTACATAAAATCCATTGAACGTTTGAAATCGCCGTACTAAACTCATTCATGCTTATACTCAAAAATCACCATGATTTAGATCTTATTAGATCGCATATGTCGTACGCGACGACTTAACGTAAATTGCATACACATGTTGATTCAACTTGATTTTTTTTCACTTTGGATCATATGTGGCACCCGTAACTCATGTGGGATGTACCTGAGTTTTGACTTTAACCACAAACTACCCTATTTTATCTATAATTTATATATACATACCTTAGTTTTAGATTTTTTTAATTAAATTATTTATGAAATTCCCAATTTAGAAGATGACAATCATCAATAAAAGCCTCCATTGATGGTTGGCTACCAAAAGTTGCCTAAAACTAAAAATATAGGAATGAAAATACAAAATGAGTGAAAAGATTAAAACCCATGTTTAAAAACTTTGGTTAAGTTACAAGTTTGGTTATCAAACTTTTAAGATTTGTATTTATTTAGTCAATCAATTTTTAAAAAGGTTTTTACCGAAGTTCATAACTTTTAAGAATAAGATGTCTTTTTTTTTTTTT